ATATATTGTAGAGAATGGAGAGAATATTGTTGACCATTATTTTTTGGTTAGTTTATGAATTATTATATTTTTGTTAGTTATTACCTCTAATTTCCTAATTTCTTTTATATTGACCAAAACAAAAATAAGGAGAATTTTTGTTGACAAAAACGTAAAAAAGAGGAGAAATTTTAGGGAGCAAGAGATACATACAAAATAAAATAAAAAATGGAAAACATGATTTTTAAAATAAATTGATTTTGATATCAAAGAACACACACATACTCTGATAAAGACTCTTCATTTTTTTTTAAATGATAAAATTATATTCGAAGGAAAAACAATGTTTTACATCAAAGTGCAACCTTTTCTTTATAAATCAAAAGCACGAAAGAAAATCTTTCATGTGATTTTTGGATCTAAATGAGAATCAACGCTGAAGTCCTTCGTCAAAACAGGCTTGCTTTGTGCTCTTAACAAAGAAAACCAATTGAGAATCCTTCATTTTATCAATAATAAAAGAATCTTTCGTGTAGGCTTAAGTCTTTAAAAGGTTTGTCTTTTGAAGAGTGGGGCATTTGATATCTAGAAAATTTCCATTTTTGGTCGAATTTGTCTAAACATTTGCTTGAATCATTGCCAGATTTTGCAATAAATGTAATTTGATGTCCAAAAATACATACATACTTAGATAAAGACTCTTCAATTTTTGTTTTAATGTTAAATTATATTCAAACCAAAAATATCGTTTTACATCAAAGTGCAAATCTTAGTTTATAAATTAGGTCTACGAAAAATATTCTTAACATGATCTATATGCGAACCAACGCAAAAGTTCGTCGTCATAACAGACTTATCTTTGTGCTCTCAGCGAACAAAACCAATTGTGAACTCTTCATTTTAGCAATAATAAAATATAATTTATACTGAATGTATATGATATTAAATTTCTAAGGCGAAAAACATTTGAACCATTAATCTTTCTTTCATATAATCATGTAACGACAGTGTTATATTGCATTTGGTTAAACATACAAATACAAACCGAGTTTCTAATTTTAATATT